GTTCTTGGAGCCTGGGGCAATCTTCCTGCATTTCCATGAGACAACATCCGGTGGAAGGATGCGTCACTTCCGAGTGTCTGGTGAAGGAGCCCTTTCCCAGAATCCCTAGAGGGCTTCTCACTGGGCATTGGCCAGGGTCGTACCACGTGCCTCTTCCTAGCCAATCAGTGGAGGGGCAGCGAGGCCGAGGTGGGCGGAGCGCCGTGGTCTCCTGAAGAGAAAGGAAGCCATAGTGGTGTTAGAACCTAGGAGGTGAGGGCCGAGGGCTGCTGTGTGGTGAGTGGCCGGTGGGGTCCTGCCTATGTGACCCCCAGGTCTGCGGACACGGTCCACATGGGGAAAAGCGGTGGAAGGACATGGGCGAGATCGCTGCCTGTGAGTGGGGAAGCGGCCCTACGCCTCAGGGGATCAGCTGCCTCTGTGCCGCCTCAGCCCCTGGGCAGCGCCGCGCGCATGGTCCGCCCCGACCCCCTCACGAAACTGAGCATATGGCAGCCTTTTCGTGCCTGGATTCTGGACAGGTGAAGTGAGCATCCGGACCCCTCAGGGAGTAACGGTGGGGCTTGTTGTGTGGAGCGGCAGGAAGGGCCGGCAGTGATGCCCTGGGCAAAGGCGAGTTGCCCCGCAGGCGGTGGTCCTGTTGGAAGTTATGGTAAAGTGACAGGGAGCACTCAGCTGGGGGTGTGTGCGTGGGACAGGTGACTCAAGAGTTTTCAGTGCAGTCTATGTTTCCACCAGTCACCACAAAAGTCCTCTGAATGTTGCTTTTGGGGTTACAAATAATTTTTAGAAAGCGTGAATTTACAGATACAGAACCCATAAGTAACAGGGCCAGCTGTAAATTGGTGAATCCGTGGAGTGGGGAACTCTGTTTTTCGTATATCTGATATGGCCCCTGTATGTTTTCACATATTCAGATGTTAGCACTCAATATAATAAGCCATATTAAATGAGCTGTTTTAGTTGAATCACACAAGGATGGAGAACATACATTTTTAAAGGGTATTTATATCCTTGGAGAGAAAAATGATAATAACATACAGAAATGCTAAATTCTTTCACTTTTACATTTTTAAATAATTATTTTGTCCATTTCAGTTGTACATCGATTCCGGAAATACAAGGCAGGGTTAAATCTGCACATGCTCTGAAAGGATGCAGAATCACTACATTATGATTTCAGTTCTAATGACAAAAAAAAAAAAAAAAAAAAAAACTCTCATGGTTTCCAAAGATGAAGTGTTCCTCGCAGTGAGATGTGGTTCAGAGTGATCCAAAGTGGAATTAGTTGTGGGTGGGAAGCAGTTGACAAAGAAGAACCAGAATTTTTCATAAATGTAGGAGAGTTGAGGTCTGTAGTCTAAAAGGTAGGATTGGGAAAGTCCCAGCAATCGGTGACAACTACTTGCATCTGGGAGAAGGTGAGGGTAGAAGGGAACCTCCTAATATGTGCACTGCAGCCTTCTGATTGGCAGGGAACCAATGGAGTTGGTCTGCAAGGCATGGGCAGATTACATTCTTTTGCTCCAGAGGAATGGTTCTTCTTGAACCTCCACTTGCCCCAGTGTAGTGCTCCCATGGGAAGAGGGTTTGCTTTATAATAGGACTTCTGTTACCATTCCTAAGTATCTAAATGGATGGCAGCCAGGTTTAACTTTGAGTCAGCATCATGGGATTTTAAAGTAAGAGCGTGACCCTCCATTCCATTTTTCTGCTCTAAATAGAAATCATATTCTGATTGTTCCCTTTCCTGGGCACAATAATGCAGATTTAAGTTCTTCTTTCATGCCCCCCAAAATAGCTGATTTTTTTTTTGCTCTTTATTTTCTCCCCTTTATAAAAGTAAAGCAGAGAAAATGGGAAAGTATTCTTTTTTCCTAAAATTTGAAGAATCAAAGAAATGCCCTTTTCAGCTCAAACTGTAATTATGGGGCTGAGAGACTTGTTAGCTACCACTGTCTACTATCATCTTTTAAAGAAATTTTTAAAATTTGTTCTAATTAGTTATACATGATAGTAGAACACATCATACATAAATGGTTTATATCTTCTCATTCTTCTGGTTGTACATGATGTAGAGTTATATAGTCATGTAATCATATATGCACATAGGGTTATAATGTTTGATTCATTCTACTATTCTTCTTGCCCCTACACCCTCTCCCCTCTTCACTCCCCTCTGTACTAATCCAGGTACCTCCATTCTTCCCTAGCCCCCCACCCCCTTATTGTGAATTAGCATCCGAATATCAGAGAAAACATTCAACCTTTGATTTTTTGGGATTGGCTTATTTTTCTTAGCATGATATTCTCCAGTTCCATCCATTTACCAGCAAAGGCCATACTTTTATTATTTTTTAAACTGAGTAATATTCCGTTATGTTTCCATGCCCTACTTTCTTTATCTGTTAATCTGTTGAAGGATACCTAGGTTGGTTCCATAGTTTAGCTATTATGAACTGTGCTGTTATAAACATTGATGTGACTGCATCACTGTAGTATGCTGATTTTAAGTCCTTTGGGTATAAACCAAAGAGTGGGATAGCTGGGTCAAATGGTGGTTCCATTCTAAGTTTTCTGAAGAATCTCCATACTGCTTTCTGTAGAGGTTGCACCAATTTGCAGCCCCATCAGGAATGTATGAGTGTGCCTTTTTCCCTGCATTCTTTCCAACATTTATTGTTGCTTGTATTTTTGGTTGTCGCCTATATCATCTTTTAAAAACAGTATTATTTTAATTCTGTAAATTCATGGGCACTGTGTGATAATTTATGCTTACACAGAGAACATAATGTTCAAATCAGGATAGTTTACATTTTCATCTCAAACATTTCAAACTTTAAATGAACACAATAATTGTACATGTTTATGGGCCACAATGATATTTCAATACATGTATACAGTGGGTACTGATCAAATCAGGACAATTAATATTTCCATTTTCTTCTCACTACCTTATAATTGGGGCCTTTGAGCTTTTCTCTCTGGTTAGACATAAAACATAATAGGTCATTGCAAAGACTTGTCCCCCAACTTTTTTGTAGAGCGCCAGAACTTATTACTGCTATCTAACTCTTTTGGGACACATTATCCAATCTCCTACTACCTACCTCTCAAAACTTCTCAGCCTCTAGTAATCACTGTTAAACATTTAGATTAACTTTTAAAAACATACATGTATAAAAACATGGAGTTTGACTTATTTCTCTTAATGTAATACCCTCTAATTCCACTCTCTTTGCTGTAAATGATGAAACAGGGCAGAAGGGGACTCCAAAATGACCCAGTTGCTCTCTGGCTACCTCTGCATTGCTTTGTGGACCAGGGTTACTCAGTCAGGGTCACTGTGATTTCAGCTGATCTTCTAGTTAGTGGCCTAAGTGAAATACACATATATATTCCCTAAGATGATGCTGATGTTGTGAAGTGTAAATGACAAGGTTCTTTCTCTGTGACTGGGATGAAGGGTGAGAATTTGGTTTGAATCTATAGTGAACTACCACATCCAGAAATGTGATTGGTGGCTGGTTGGAGGCTTCCTCTTCCTCCTCAGGGAGCACATTTATATTAGTACCATTTTGCAGGGGAGGGTGGTAATTTGTCTCAAATAACTTGGAGGTTCTGCCTGGGTGTGGAAGTTAGTATTTCTGATGTCACTCTTGAGCCAATCACCTGATGATGCTTAGCAGGCAGTTGGGCTCCTGGGTCTGAGGCCTGGAGTGGAGGTCTGAGCTGCAGCTCCAGATCAAGGTGAAGAGAGGAGGAAAGGAAGTATCAGGTTCTAGTTGGTGGCTTCTCAGACTGGCTGTGTGATGCCATCACTGGTTGAGTTGTGAGCCTTGCCAGCGCCCAGTCTGTTTTAAGAAAACAGCTCTGCTAAATTTTCTTTTAGTTTTTTTTTAGGTGAACACAATATCTTTATTTATTTTTATTATGTGGTACTGAGAATCAAAACCAGTGGCTCATGCATGCTAGGCAAGTGTGCTACCACTTGAGCCACATCCCCAGACCCAGCTCTGCTAATTTTAACCAAGATTGATTTTTGGACTTTTGACTTCTGGAACTTCAAGATAATAAGCTTATTTTGTTAAGTTAAAAAAAGTTGTCAGACCTCTGGCCAGTTATGTTGTAGCCTCAGTTTCTTCATCTGTAAAATGAGATTCTGGCCCCTTTGCAGTTTTGTGATTCTGTTGTGAATTGATGGTTTATTTTCTGTCTCCTCTTCATGACGTGATGCCTACTCCTTCCCCTTCCCTCATCTATACATTTTCCTGATGGGCCAGGAGAGCAAGGCAGCAACATTTTATTTGCTTATTCTGAAGATGTGAATTGAAATGGAGCCTTAAATTGTCTAATTCTGAATCTGTGAGTGGATCAATTAAAGGGGGAGCCTCCAAACACAGAGTCAAAAGACCATGCTAAAATGCTACATCCTTACCACTATTCTGCAAAATTATAGTTTAATGGGGCAAAAATTATTGCATCTATGTTTGTAGCACATTTCATGAGTGCTTTGCCTCATGGATTTACCAGGATTTTAATCTAATACAAAGCTCTCTTGGTTTTTCAGAACATCCTCTTTATGGCTTGAGTTAAGTATGTTTTTATGTAACAAAACCCTTTTCTCATCTTCTAATATGGTACCAGAGTGAAACAAATTGTACCTGAGGTTTGATTGGTGGTGGTTTGAGTTCATGAAAAAAGATAAGATAAAGAAAAAACACATCGCAAAAGCAACAGAGGTTGTGTAACTCCATTAAATTATGTTTACGGGTTTACTTGTCAGAGTTTTGTAACAAAATGGTTTTTCTGGAGTCTGTTTATCAGTATTTGTCACTAATTAGTGCCTACAAATTACCCTTTTATGGGAGTCATGTTCTTTCGGTCATCCTGGTGTCTTAATAAATCAGAGCTGTCACTGCTCACGTGCTTTGCTGTTGTTAGGTTTTGCTTGTGCTTTTCTTTCTGGTGCATCTCATGGTTCTCTCTCTTCCCCAAAGGTTTCCAACAACTGTGACTCCATTTTTGTGAATGGGAAGGAAATGAAGAGTAAAGTGGACAAGATAGTGAACTTCACCCATCAGCACTTCATCTCCCTGGTGGAAGTCACTGTCTGGGCACCCCGACTCCCCTTGCAGATTGAGATCTCAGACACAGAGCTGAGCCAGATCAAGGGTTGGAGGATCCCGGTGGCCTCCAACAGAAGGTGAGGACCATACCACAGTGGGTTACAGTGGTCTGTACTTGGGGTTCAGATGAGTCTGACTTGGGACTCACTCACATTTTAGTATTAACACCTTCTAGAGTAGTTGTGAGGATTCAGTGAGATGATAGGTGTGCCTAGCATGGGGCCTGGCATTGGCTCAGCTGTTTTCCATCCCCATCTCACTACCGTTCATTCTTGTGTTCCTCTTCCTTAGTCTCCCTGCTCATGGATGTTGGTCATTTCTCTTGGACACAATGCAGGGATTAAGACTGTGAGCTCTGGAGTGAGGCTGTCTGAGTTTTAAACCCTGGTTTTCCCACTTAAAGCTCTGTGAACTTGTGGCTTCACCTGTCCATTCCTCAGTTTCTTTATCTGAATTGAGAATAATATTACTGAAAAGTTGTCCCAAGAATTCAGTGATGTGATGCATACTCCCATAGACAGAATTCTAAAGATGAACTGCTTGCTCTCCAAGATTCCCATCACCAAACACTGATCTGATAGGGTGGTGAGGGGACTTCACAGAAATAGCTTCAAACAACTGATCAATGGAGAGTACCCTGGTGGGCCAGACCCATCAGATAAGCCATTTGAGAGCAGAACATTCTCCATAGCCAATAGCATAGTGGAAGTGGGAGGGATTTGAAGGTGTGAACATTTGGACAGGGTGTTGCTAGCTTTGAAGATGGACTGAGCCACATTTCAAGGAGAGAGGGTGACAGTATTTAGGAGCTGGGAGTAGCCTGAGGATGCACACCAGTCAGAAAATGGTGGCCCCAGTCCTTCAACAAAAGGATCCAAATAACCTGCAATAACCAGACAGATCCTAGAGGTGGGCCCTTCCCTCACATCTGCTCATCAGGGTCAAGGCCAGAAACAGGAGAGGAAAGGCCAAGATTGGCCAGAGTGGCAACAGGGAAGGTGGTGATGGCGCTCAGAATGTGAGAGGAGCATCCTGGGGAAATCACTCACTGCACAGACAACTGCAGGGCTGGTAGAAATCTAGACTTCAGAATGCTGCCACTGAGGGCCTGGAGGGAATTGAGGAAGGCCTTGCTAGGAGGCCACAGAGTGCTCAGCAGAGCTGGCTACTGCTGGTATGTGGAAAGCAAGTGAGGCTGGTTGTGGCTGAGGATGTGATGGGTGTGCACATTGGAGTCTTCTTGCTACATATGGTAAAATGCAAGAGGAGAGGTAAATGGAGGCAGGACTGTTAAAAAGGAACAGGACCTGAGGATGTTGAAGTTTTTAGCATCACTAGATGGCCAGCTATGGGAAAAGCAAGAGACTCCCTGTTGGAAAAATGGGCCCTTCAGCAGAGGCCGAGGATGGGACTCAAGACTCTTCCCTGAAACCTGAAGGACAGGCCCAGAGCTGACTGCCTGTGTGGCTTTTTGATCTTGGCTCACCCTCCACCTCTTCCAGGGCTGTGCATTCTGCCTTTTGGGCAAAACTAGCAGGGAAGGAGTGGGCACCCCATGGTGTCCGAAACAGATCACCTGGGCTCCAAGCCCAAGTTGTCATTAGAGCCAAAGCCCAGAAAAGCCCATCAGCACTTGTGCACTAAAACAGAACAAAGTTACTAAAACAGGTTTTAGTAGGATCCAGGGTTTTCTATCATAATATTCAGAATGTGCAGAAGAAAATTGAAAATCACTTGTTATACCAAGCAGGGAGAAAAAAACAAAGCTGTCAGTGAGGAATTACAAATAGCCCCAAAACAAAAAACAAAAAACAAAACAAAACAAAAAATTAGAAAATCTCAGCAAGCACATGTACTCATCATAAAGAAGAAGATGTAAATCACAGGACTGAAAAAGAGAGTAACTGTCAGTGGGGCTGTCAGAGATTCAAGTCAGTGGAGGGCAGACAAAAGAATTTACTCAATATGAGTAAGAGAGAAGTAGGTTGGGAACAAGCGAAAAGAGCTTCAGGGACTTGTGAACAATGACAAAAGATCTAAAGTTCTGTAATTCGAATCTGAGGAGACAGGAAAGGGTATAGGGATGAAACAGTATTTGAAGAAATAGTGGCTGAAAACTTCCCAAATTTGACAAAAGACACAGCTTATGGATTTGAAAAGTTGGGAAATCACAAAAGTGACAAATCCAAAGAAATCCATGCCAAGGCAAATCATAATTAAGCTTGTGTAACTTAGAAGACAAAGGAAGAATCTTAAAAACATCCAGATATTACACTAATTTGAATGAAGATGAATTTCTCACCTGAGACCAAGGAGGCCAGAAAGACGTGGCATAGTTTTCCAATGGTGAAAGAAAAGAACTGTCAGTCCTGAATCTATATCTGGAAAAAGTATTCTTCAAGACTGAAGGGGAAATAAAGACATTCTTACATGAAGAAAGACAGAATTTATTTCCAGGAGACCTACCCTCAAAGAATGGCTGGAGGAGCTTCTCCAAAGAAAAAGAAAATGATAACTGAAAAAGATTTGGAACTTTGAAAAGGAAAAAAGAATGACAGAATCAGTGAAAATTAAATAGGATAGAAGTCTTCCTGAATTCATGAATTTCTTAAATTATATTTGACAATCATATTTGGTTGAAACAAAAACTTAGGACCTCATCAATGTGGTGCTTAAAGCACATAGAGGAAGTCTTTAAAACAATTGTTTGTGGAAGCAGGGAGGCCAAGGAACCTAAATGGAATTAAGGTGCCTACCTTCCAAGTGGTCAAACTTTGTTACCAGGCCAAAATAAGTTATGCATGGAGGTTAAATTGCACACCCATGCATGCATACAGGCACAAGTGACTCTAAAGTTGGTGAAATCTGAATGAGCTCTGTGTGTGCCAAGGCCAATTGCTTGGTTTTGGTATTGTCCTCTCATTACAAAGATAGTCACTTTGCAGTACTGGGTAATGAGTGTATGGGATCTCTCCATACTTTTTTTTTCTTTCAGTGAATTTGTGATTATTTCAAAATTAAAAGTTAAAAGAATTAATAGAATACAGTTTATCTTAACCTAACAGAACTGTTTTATTTCAATAATTCAGAACTTCTAAAAGTTCACGTATTTACTGACAACTTTTATCATACTGCCACCTTTTAATGAAGTGTAAAATATACTTTATAATGCACTTCTTTCAGTTTTATCCACTTAATTAAGGGGAACTTCTCATCACTAGCACAAAAAAGACAGCTGGTATCATTTCTTATAAAATAAATTGTATCAAAAATTAATACAAATAAAACAATGTTTTAAATTTCTGAGTAGATGCTGTCTCTCTGTGGGTCTTTGTTAAGTATCAGGACAGCATTTAAAGACTTCGTAGCACTGAACAGAAACAGTGCTGGTGATGTATTCTGATGGACTCAAAAATAGAATGGGAATGACTTTTCAGTATGTCACAATGTTTTTAATGCTGTGTCCCTTTCCCTCTGAAGGCATCTCTCTTACCCATAAAGATCTTTACTTCTCTCTTCAGGAAACCGGAATTGCTGGTCACAGTGCTGGTTCAAGGAGGCAGATTGACCTATTGTGAATAATACATATTTCAGAAATCAAATGGAACTGGATTCAAGCCTGCTTGTTAGCAGTTGTCACGTGTTTTAGTCAGTTTGGGTCACTGAGATCAGACCTGACAAGAACAACATAGAGAATGACAAGTGTATTTCAGCTCATGGTATCAGAGGTTCAGTCCATGGTCAGCTGACTCCATAGCTCTGGGCCAGAGGTGAGGCAGCCCATCATGTCAGAAGGGCAGGGAGGAAGAAAGCAGCTCAGGACCTGGTAACCAAGAAGCAGAGAGAGTACCACACTCAGCAGGGACAAAATATAAACCCCTAAAGCCTACTCCCAGTGACCTGCCTCCTACAACTACACCCCACTGCCTACAGTTACCACCAGTTAATACATATCAGTGGATTAATAGGTCACAGGTCTCATAATCTGATTTTTTCACCTCTGAACATTCTTTCATCGTTCCGTACATGAGCTTTTGGGAATGCCTCAGATCTAAACTGTAACACACATGTTAACCACTGTGAGCCTTTTGTCATAGCCACAGTGAAGATGAGGTTAGTTGTAGAACCAGTGAGAACGCACACAAGGACAACCAGATTGGGCTTGGCCCTGCCTCTGCACATGATCAGTTACGTGGCCCCTTTCTTATCCACATGATCAGGATAGCAGTCCAACTTCAGTCTTCAAGTTTTGTGAGGAATGAATGAGTTAAACATGTGGCTGTTGTAAAGTCAGGTGTCATTGTGGGGAGACTAGGCCCATAGTAGTTGTAACAATAGTACATAGGAATTGCTGTCATTTCATTCCCTGATGTATTCCTCCTCACTGGTGGTCACAAACTAGGCAACAGCCATGAATCTCCTATGAGGCCACAGGAGAGGTTCTTCTTTAGGGGAAGGAATTGCAGAACCAGAGGATTTCTCAGGGTGGGCTGTGGATAGATGGAGAGCATGTGCCAGGATTGGAGGAAGGGCCAGAGCCTTGGTGAAGGAAAGCAAAAGCCAGAATGGGCGAAAGGAGAGATCCACTCACAAGTTTTACCAGTAACACGAGCAGCTTTGCTCCCAGAGCAGTACTTGTGGGGAGGGCAGGATGTGCCAGGGGAGAGCACTCTGGCACCCCAAAGGCCTAAGCAGGATGAAGCTGCTTCTGTGGAGTCCACTGGCCCAGACCAGTGAGGAGTGGGAAATGAGAGCAGGCCAAGCCCACTGGCTCCTGGTTTATCTTTGCAGTTCCTAAGGGGCTTTCCCAGTGTCTTCACACCTTGATGTCCTTGGTCCTTGATCTTTATACTCCCAAAGGGGAGGAACAGGCAGCCATTCTTATTTTCATTTTCAACATGAGGTACCTGAGCCCATGGGAGAGCAGAGCACCTGGCTCAAGGCCCAACAGGGAGTGCAAGCAGGAATCCAGACAGCTCCTCTCTCTCAGGACCTCGCATTTCTGCTTCAGAAGCCACGGTCTTGCTTCATTTCCACATGGGGAATCATATTCTGATGCCCAGTTTCCAGAAGGCAAAGAGCAGAGGCTCCATTTCTGCCTGTCTGGTCTGGAGTCTCCTGTGGCAGTGGACCAGGGAAGCCAGGGTGTACTTGCTGTCCACCTTCTAAGTGTGAAGCAGCCTGTGTGGCTCACAGTGACTGCTGAAAAGGTATTGAATGAATTAACTGCTGAAAGTTGAGTGAATCAATGGATGAACAGATTTGGCCTGAGAAAAGCCACTTTATTTCACTCTGCGCCATCACCTGGACTCTAAACCAGGGGCATATGACACTCCTTCCCAACAAGGACGCTTACTCTGTTGTGGTCTGTTTGTTTTCAGGCCCACCCGGGAGAGTGAAGACGAGGAGGACGAGGAGAAGAAGGGGCGAGGCTGCTCCCTGCAGTACCAGCATGCCCTGGTGCGCGTCCTCACCCAGTTTGTGACTGAGTCATCTGACTTGGGTCAGCTGACCTACATGTTGGGCCCAGACTGGCAGTTTGACATCACTGACCTTGTGACAGAGTTCATGAAGGTGGAGGAGCCCAGAGTCGCCCAGTTACAGGATGGCAGGACCCTGGTTGGTCAGGAGCCGGGAATCACCACTGTTCAGGTACAGGGGGTTCATGTTTTGCCACCTCTCCAACACCAGTACCTGCTGATGATTCAGGCACATGCTGCCATGCAGGGGTGTGCACATGTGTGAGGGTGATTGTGCAAATGTGCAGATACTGAGTCTGCCTGTAACAGAATCATGAGAAGCAATAGAGTATTCACAAATTTTAATAACCTAAACACATTTTGTATTTTAGAGAGGGTTGAGAAAAATGCCTGATCTGTTTTTACCAGAGAAAGCTAAATGAAACACATAGTGTAAGTCACCCTTTTCCCGATATGACACTTTTTTTTTTTAATCTGTACTAGGAGGTGGTAGAACCTCTGAAAGCAAATTTCTCCTCAACCTTGACATTTAACCATTTAGCTATATTATACCTTTAACAGTAGGCAAAGATTTTTTAAAGCATGTATTTGGCTATAAATCACAAAGAATCTATAGTTAAAAGCTCTCTATTTTCATCATACTAACAGTAAAATAATTTCTGATTTTGGCAAGATTAAAAAAGAAAAAGTCACAGCTTGTTTTATTTTTGCAAATTTAAAATGTTACTGCTCATAGTTAATTATGTCTTATTTTAGGTGTTGCCAAAGTTAATTTTCGACAAAGTTGAATTAAATATGTAACATTCTATATTCATGTCTATTTCTGTGTAATATATTACCACCAATTTAACATTTCAAGACAACAGTAGTTTATTAAGTTATATTCTGTGGGTACACAGTCCTGGTGGGTGGGCTGGTTCTATGCTTAGGGTTCCTAAGGCTGAGATCCAGGTGCTGGCTGGGCTTGGCCCTTAATCTTGGAGTTTTGGGAACTCATTGGCTTTTAATCTCATTCAGTTTCTTGGAAGAACTTAGCTCTCTTATAGTTATAGCACTGAGGTCACAGTTTCCTTACTGACAGCCAGGTATTGCCCTGTCCTCTAAGAGGACCCCTCCATTCCTTCTCACATGGTCCCTCTCTCATCAGTAATGGCTGGATTCAGTCCTTCTCAAACTTAGAGTCTGAATTCTCTTGCTACCAGCTGGGGAACGCACTCTGCTGTTAAGGGTTCCTGTATAATTCGGGAGACCCTTGTTTTAGAGCCAGCTATGCCATATAACAGTGTGATTGTAGAGTGCTTTCTCATTGTGTTTGAGGTTAAGGTCAACATTTAGGGGGACTATTCTAGAAATTGTGCCTTTGACATATTCCTGTCCTGGTTTCAGTCTCCCATGGTTGCACATTAGATGGTAAAGTGGTAGGAACAGCTCCTTAGGACATGACTATTCCCTGCCCCACTTTAACTGTTCATCCAGTTATCCCACAGTGGTCCACACAGTGATCATATTGTCCCATGATAGGTATCTAACCTGCCCATTGGAAGGGATGTGAGCAGAAGAGGGCTGAGCACCATTTCCTTCAAAAGAGTTGACCACAGGCCACTGCTTTCAAAGCCTGAATGTCGGTTGTTGGGAAAGTGCTACTCTTTGAGTGCTGAGTACCAAGGCAGGCAATTTGAGTTATTGCCTCTAACTTAAAACAAGCTTATCTCAGAAAATACACTGTTGTTATCATGGCATGAATCCCAAGAAAGGAAGTGGATTAAGGTGACCTTTATAAAACTCCTTCAAGTGCTAAGTTTAATTGGACAATGGCAGGATGCCTACATAAGCAGTCTTCCTGTGTGCGCTCTGTAGAGCACTGCAAAGTCTCCCGAGGCCCCGCCAGCTCCAGGACTTGAAATTGTCACGTGGGCAGAGACCGCGCTTTTTCACTTACTCCCCAGGTCCTCTCACCTCTCTCTGACTCCATCCTGGCTGAGAAGACAGTGATTGTCCTGGATGACCGCGTCACCATCGTGGAGCTGGGCGTTCAGCTGGTGGCTGGCTTGTCCCTCTCCCTGCAGCCTCACAGGATGGACCGAAGGGTCATCGTCTCCACAGTGGTTGCCCAGGATGTCCTCCAGGCCCCACAGCAGGTGAGAGCCTGGAGGCCTGTGCCCTGGTCCATGGTCAGCTCCTGTCCAGGTCGTTTTGTCCTACACAGAGGGTCAGCAGGGTCTTGCAGCCCCTTGCAGCCCCTTGCTGTTCTTGGAGCTGCTTCCTGCATCTCCCCCAGCACATGGGGTCTAGGAAAGCGTGCAGAGACTGAGGCTCATTTCCTCTGCCATTTGTTCTCCAGCAGGATAACCTGTGATAGGCATAGTCTGATGTTGGACTGTGAGCTGAGGGCCATGTTTTTTTACCTTGGCCAAACCAAATGGGTAATTTTTGATACTGCATCTTGCTAAGTTGCTGAGACTGGCCCTGAACTCATGATCCTCCTGCTTCAACCTCCTGGTTGGCTAGGATTACAGGTGTGCATCACTGTGCCTGGCTGTTGCAAATCATTTATAAAGATAACCGAGGCACTGGGCCGTTCAAGCAGTCCAACTTCATAATCCATCGTTTACCAAGAAATTTACCAGAGTGCGTTTTGCTTCATCAGCATTGGCTTCCTAATAAAGAAGGTTCAAAGCGATATTATCTTTAGCAGTAGCCTGATTAGTTGCACCTAAAATTGATTCAGATAAATTGCCTGATCTTTCCAAGTGTTTTTAGAAAGGTCAAAGTCAAATTCTTTGATATGGCATGCAGTAAATTAATTTACACTTTAGTGCATTCATGAAAGCTTATTATTTATTTCTCATACCAGTGGAGCTCCTGCAGATTATTGATGCCAGTTCAAGGCATGACAAGAACTGGTAAAGATTATAAAATGGAAGATTTTTTTCTACATATACTTAAAAGCATTTATATAGGAAATCTTGCTTATGTTGTAAATTTGAAGGGAGCTGATCATGCTTTGATTTCGTTTCCCTCAGGAAGCCATAGTCAGTTCTTGGATTTTGTTCAGTGATGGCTCCGTGACACCTTTAGACATTTATGATCCCAAGGATTTTTCCATAACTGTCTCATCATTGGATGAAATGGTGGTGTCTGTCCAGCCAAACTTGCAGTCCCAGTGGCCAGTTGTGGTTGCAGAGGGCGAAGGACAAGGGCCCCTGATAAAGTTGGAGATGATGATCAGTGAGCCTTGCCAGAAGACCAAGAGGAAGAGTGTTCTTGCTGTGGGTAAAGGAAACGTCAAGGTCAGGTTTGCACCAGGCATCGAGGAGGAGCACCGAGGAGGCAGCAATGACATTGAGGGTGTGAACCGGGAATACAAAGATCACCTGAGCAACTCCATAGAGCGGGAAGGGAGCCAGGAGCGAGCAGTCCAGGAGTGGCTCCAGCGTGGGGGCCCTGCTGGCCCAGAGGACAGGACCAACAGGAGCACAACCCTGCCGCTGCCTGGGGAGGGGAAGGACAAGAAGCTACTCAAGAGTGGTGGTGCAGACGCCTTCACCAGCTTCCCCACCCAGGGGAAGTTTCCAGAATCCAGTAACCCTAGTGACCTTACAGTGGCCTCCAGGGGCTTGACGGACTTGGAGATCGGCATGTACGCCCTACTCTGCGTCTTCTGCCTGGCCATCCTGGTCTTCCTGATCAACTGCGTGGCGTTTGCCTGGAAGTACAGACACAAAAGGCTTGCGGTGAGCGAGCAGGGCAACATCCCCCACTCCCATGACTGGGTCTGGCTTGGGAACGAGGTGGAGCTTTTGGAGAACCCAGTGGACATCACGCTCCCCTCTGAGGAGTGCACGACCATGATAGACAGGGGGCTGCAGTTCGAGGAGAGGAACTTCCTGCTGAACGGAGGTTCCCAGAAGCCCTTCCACAGTCAGCTGCTCAGACCTTCTGACTATGTCTATGAGAAAGAGATGAAAAATGAACCTGTAAACTCTTCTGGCCCGAAGAGGAAGAGGGTCAAGTTTACTTCCTACACCACCATCCTCCCTGAGGATGGGGGCCCGTACACCAACTCCATCCTGTTTGACAGTGATGACAACATCAAGTGGGTCTGCCAGGACATGGGGCTGGGGGACTCACAGGACTTCAGAGACTATATGGAAAGACTGCAGGACCAGATGTAAACTCCTTTCTTATGTTGTATTCACCTTTATGCCTTCTGTTTTCTGAACGGTGGAGCAGTGAGTCTGATCAGCAATAGGGTGACTTCGCAAAGCTGAGTTCGTGGAGGTCTGGAGGGGGCCCTTTCTAAGCATGTTTCAGAGGCCTGGAGAGTTACGTCAGCTGGGTTTTAAGCTGGGAAATGCCTCTAAAACAGCTACATGTAGGGACTGGAGGAATTCTAAGACAACAGTTTTGCCTATAGCCTGGTACCAGCTCAGTGCAGGTAGAGTAAACCCGACCTCACAGACATTGTTAGTCATCTCATGGCGAATGGCTATGTGTAGTGAGGAGAGATTTGGATGGTGATTTTCCTGTTCCTAGACCTTTTAAAGCACAGTGGGCAGGTACAGCCCGTGGCCTGGGTTTGGACACACTGAGAGGTGACTGAATGTAGCTATCCTTATTTGTTAGGAGTGCTGCTCAGTATTTTTATATACATTTCCACCTGCACCTGTTCCTTTGACCTCTGGAATTTTTTTTGAAACATGAAGAGAAGAAATTTCAGTCTTTGAGATCTGTGTGATTTACAAATTGAGTTTTATTCCCTGGGATTTGCCGCGTCACGTCATTTCCTGGGTCTCCATACAGGATGTCAGGTTTTTCAAGTTTTGAGCACTTCTTTCTTTAGTGACAGCATCTAAGAAGCTTATTCTCACTTTCTTTTTCCTACCTTTTGCTGTTGAACTTTCTTGTGTATGACTGGGACAGGGGTTTTGCTTAAAATGTTGATATCCAGTGAGGGAGAGTCATCTCTTTACATTTTTCTATGTGAAGTTTAAAACAACTTGGAGGAAAGTTGTGAACACACACATTTATTTTTGTCCTCTGTTTGCTAAGAATCCTGGGGAGCTCCTGGAGTACACTGCTGAGGGCAGAAAGCCCCTAGGGAGCAGTGATTATTCAGGTTCTTTGTAGTCAACACAATGTACCATACAAACTGAATCTAAAGGTAGAATCCATCTACATTTGCGCTGAAGGGAAATTGCCCAGGAAATAGCTTCCAATTAAACTTTCCATTTTACCAGAAAAAAAATTAAATGATGTTTCAAGTTAGCAATACATATAGATTATCCATACAATAACTAACTTCACAGGTGTGCATTTGTGGTAAAAGCAATGGGTTTCCCCCAGAATTCACAAAAATAAATGACTGTTCCAGAGCCCAAGAAGCAGCTATTATGAACAAACTATAGCTATTGAAAAATCAAAGTGCTAAGAGGAAAAAAGTGATTGTTGTATAATTTTTAAATAAAAATATTTAGAATCATCATGAATCATCATCTCAAAGCAAGAATTTCAGATTAGCAAAATGCGACATTTTTATTTATTAAAATGCTATAGGTGGAAAAGCAGACACTGGACTAATCTGTCTCATTATGAGTTAACTGAGCCATTTGCATCCCTAAGAAATGGAATTTGAAAGGCCCAAAGTAGGAGGCACTTGCAACAAGTCACCCTTACTCCCAGT